ACCTGTATCCTACACATAACCGTTATATAACCTGTAGCGTCTGGTTAGCATGATCGAATTACTGCTTTTTATTTATTTTTGTTGATCAGATGTTATATATATATATATATATATATATATATATATATATATATATATATATATATATATATATATATATATATATATATATATATATATATATATATATATATATATATTTTATTATTTTTTAAAATCTCATTAAATCGTTCACTCGCCAGTAATTTACAATCGTCTGATGAGATGCATTTGATACTCATCGAAGCACGACAACAATTGTGTACAGATTTTGACATGTTTTCGATGTAATATCCTTATATATATATATATATATATATATATATATATATATATATATATATATATATATATATATATATATATATATATATATAAATATATATATAAAGACACATCAAGACACGTCAAGACAGATTATTTTTCGTTTTAATTCAGTTTATTTTTAATTTCGCCATTATGCCGTTTTTGGCTTGTGTTTATATAACACATGAAGCAATATGCATATTCTTTTGATAAAGGATCATTGGTTAATTGTTTGCATACATCTGTGTGTTTGTTTGTGTGTGTGTGTGTGTGTGTGTGTGTGTGTGTGTGTGTGTGTGTGTGTGCACGCGCATAGGATATGTAGCTATCAGGATCTGATTGAACCGCTGGGACACCAGACAAAATCACGCTGAGACTGTGAGTCTGTCGGCCGTTGCTGCCTTGTGTCTGCTCTGTCGGCTGATAATGTGATTGGCGTCTTTAGTTTTAACTCTATTTTTCTGGTAAGCATACAACATTACGAAATCCCAAATCCATGGCCTCGCTGTGCTCACTAGAACCATAGCAACCCATTAAAAGGGGGAATTTTAGGCGTTTTGGTTGTTTTTTTTTTCATTTCCTATTAGGCCACGCTCTGTTTATTAAAAGCACAAATATCGATCACTGAGTCAAAAAGAATTAATTAACAATTGTTTAAAAAAAAAGATTATACAAGGCTAAGTGCGGTGATAAGATTATACTTCGTAAATTCGCTATGAAACACTTGCTTTGACTTACATAAATACTGATTACTTCAGCTAGTAGTAAATAAGTAACTGTCATGACAAAGAGGATCTTCTCATACTCATATACATATCCCCTGAAGAGTGACATGACTGATTGCTGGATAGTTCGTCTACGAAACTCTGGAGTCGGGATACTGAAAGTAATAACAATCAGCCAAGTGACACACACACACATATATATATATATAATACCTGGCCACTCGTATTCGAGGATATTCGTTTAATAGGACGCCTGATCTGTGGTTTATACTGCAACTATGTGTGAGCAGACCTTAGTTACAGTTTCTGGGAAAAACGGGTTATCTAGCGTGATCAACAAGGCCAGAACGCTCAAGTACTCGGCCACGATGACTCGTGACTTCGTGCTCGCACGAAGGGTTCCATCTGCCCGATTTCACCTATCCCATAAATATAGCATACCTTAAAATACAATATGTGTGGAATGTTGAACTGAACCCTTTATTTCGCTCACTGGGGTAGACAGTTCTAGTTCCACGTGCCATGTTAAAGGAGTTCAGTTATCAGTTATCTCCCCCCTCCAAATTCTCCACTGCCTTAACCCGGTATCGAACTCACACTTTTTGGGTCCTGTCACTGGATCTAACTAACGCCTTTATCCACTGTGCCATGTGTCCTTGAGTACATCCGTGTATGAATTCCTGGATATTATAAACTTATTAAAATAAGTCTTCAGCGACATTTTCTACCAGTTGCAATTTTTGCTGATATCATTTTATGTTTTTACCAGAACTCATATTGCAATTTTTTGTTGTTATTATCGCTTTTCTCTGGCACTCCTTATTACTGGATCCCATATTGTACTCATTTCTATGCTTGGTCGGCTCAGGAGATTTTGTGGTCTAGCATATGTGTTGATTTCTTAAGTTTACGAATTTGTTCAGTTCGATATTCCAATCACCTGAAGAAGGCCGGAGCGTACAACGGCCGAAACGTTGTAATAAATATGGCGACAAAGATAAGGGCACTAGTTCGAATAATGTAAATAGTGTACATTTGTATCTGTTCTTTGTGTTTTGGGCGACCCAATTTTTTTTGTCATCCTGCATATTTTTTCGTCTTAACTTGATCCACCCGTACTTCTCAGAAAATCTTGTTTTCTTCATAGTATGTTCCTTGTAAACTACTTTAATAGGGTTAACGTTTCACTATTATTTTTTAACAATCTTCACATAAAAGTTGATGCTAATCCAGTTCTCCATGTTCCTTTCACTCACATATTCCTTTCACTCATATTCCTTTCACGATAACATTATGAACATAAACATGTATAACTTCCTCTACTGCTGGGCAATGAATGACTTATTTGGCCTGCAAAAAAAAAGTGTAAGTTTGAACATATGCGAACTTGCTCCGGAGCAAAACCTTTGCCTGATACATTTCCCCTATAACAAGATGGAGTTATTCCAGAAAATAAATTGTCACAGCACGTGTAAACACGATGGTTGTACTGAAAAGTTCTTGGTCCTACCAGCATGAGCTCCTCCTAAAAACAGATGTTTACTTTATGGCTAAACGATGTGTGATTGGTGCAGTGGATATCAGCTTGGAAAGATCAATCTGCGAGAAAAGTTCGGATTCCGGCCTCGTCTGTTGTATTCTCTTTCGCACTAATGCCCTTGGGAAAGGCATGAATCCACAACTTTTCTCCCAAAACTATAGATTAAATAGCAAGGTAGACGGGTTTGTTTAATTTTTAGTAGCATCCAGTCTAAGAGAAGAACTACCCTGAATTCAAAACTGTGAAGAAGGCAAAAACGATCTACTCCACCACTTTTCCTTAAAGAAAAAAAATCTGTGGAGAGCCATGATTGTTTTCGTTCTGAAAGGACTTATGGGTATCTACCTAACTCCCCACGGTGAAAGAGAGTGTTTGATCTGGAGTGCCCATTCGTGTACATATGAGGTAAAGACAAAAATAACCTAACCCCCACAATCACTGATAATAAATGCTGTAATATAATAAACATATCCCTTCTCCCCTCTCGCTTTTAACCATCCATCGCAATAAAATAACGTTTTTCAGCGCTAAAGCAGAATGAGTCAAATAAAGCTTTATAAGATTCTACTTATAATTGTTACTATATTACAATACAACGGGAGGTTGCTATGGAAGAAATATTTATTTTCTCATTTGAATTTCCTCAGTTATGGGCATTATTATATCCGTTATATAATAACACCTTACGGGCATAACAGAATAGCTGAATTGAAAAAGTATAACAGACATACTTAGGTCTTAGAGAGACTTTTATTATGCTAAGTCGTACACAATGTTAGATATATACCCATATCCATGTGCCCCACGCAGAGAAATTATAACATATATGCAACAACAACCGGCGTGTAAAAAGAAAGAGCAGCCTTACTTGTAATATTTCCCGAAGGCAAAACTTAAGTTACGATGGTCTCTCTATGAATCTGGATAGGTCATCTAGTTTTTCCTGTAAGACCTACTGTTGTGGGCTAGGGACGTCCTTCTTCTGCGGGCTCTACAACGCAACTGTCTTTCGTCACCCTATCCTCTGATGTCATCCACCGACCGTCACACGACACTCGTGACTATCTCAACGAAAGGGAGAGGATCGCCGTTTGTTTCCCTACAACAATAAACAAATGGAATCTGTGGAGAGCCATGATTGTCTGCCTCATGAAAGGACTTTTTTTTTTAGAAAAATAGCAGTCTTGTATATGATTAAAAATAAAAGGTTTAAATGGCGTATCAGTTGGTATTTAAAATGTTGGTATTGCAAAAAAAAAAATTTCTCATAGATGGAATTCAGGGAATCATATATATTGTTTGCATTATTAAACGGCATATTTTATTCTGAAAAAAAAATTACAATCCCTTTTATTGAATATAAGTAAATAATTATTTAGCCAATCATCAAAATATTTCAAGGGTGTGTATACATTTTGGAGCGTGAGTAGACGTTTAACGGCAAGAAGACAAGTGTTGGTTACGAGGTGCCATGTCTCTGAAGGGCGTTAGGTGTGGAAAATGAGGGGAGGCGAGGCTTGCATCCATTGAATTCTTCAATGTCATATCGTAGCGCGGTGGCTTCTCTTACGTGACAATATGTCAAGCGATTCTACGCCGAGGGACCATATTCCAATCTGCATTAGCCATAATCCGACGTTATAGTCTGACAACAGTGTGTCAGATGGCAAACACGCTATTACGACTAGACAAGTGTAGACATCGCACAAAGGTTGTCGTTAGTTTGGTATTTAGTATTCATACTAAACCTCATAACATTTGCCTTGATAAAGTGGTAGATGCACGCATGCGTACTTGCAAGCGTGCAGCTCGGCAAAGTTGACGGTTTCTAGCCAGTAGTAGAGAAATGATTCTACTCATTATGGTATTATATGTTTGCCGAAAATTTTTTGATGTATCGATGGACGAGTATTTTGGTCGCCGGCCCTGGACAGTTGACGGATATATAATATTTATCCGCAAAATATAAATAAATCTTTCGATATGTGTCTAGAGAGAACATGATTTATCTCCCTTTAGTTTACTGTCGACTGATTACTGATGATTCGATTTTTATTATTCTGGCTATTAATTCGACTGGCGTTCATCTTCTCTCTCTCTCTCTCTCTCTCTCTCCAGTTTTTCTTTTCGTTTTTTTTCACTTCATTTTTTTCTTTCTTTATTTCGAAAAAATACTTTGATGATTACTTATCTTATAATTACATTGTCGATTTTCTTGTAGCTTTATTAGTTTGGACCGTAAGAATGTAAAAGAAATAACGATAGACAGAGGAGGTGACAGAGAGAGAAGACAGAGGGGGATAGAGGAAAAAAAACAAGAATGTAGCGAGGCATGGGGAGAGAGAGAGAGATAAGCGATATAAAAACAGGAAGACAAAAAAAGATGAAAATCAAAGAGCGCGTGAGAAGGGGAGAGAAAGACAGAGAGAAAGAGAAGAAAGTAAGGAGAGAGAGGAGCAAGGACAGAGGGAAAGAGAGGAAGGCAAAGAGAGAGGGTCAGAGAAAAAGAGAGGAAGGCAGAGAGGGACAGAGAGAAAGAGGGGAAGGCAAAGTGAGAGGGGAAGAGGGACAGGGGGCGCTAAAAAAAAGGACAGAGCAAGACAAGAAAGAAAGAAAGAAAGAAAGAAAGAAAGAAAGAAAAGAAAGAAAAGAAAGGATGATGAAAGTGAGAAAAAGACAGATGGAAAGAGAGAAAGAAACAAAAAGAGAGAGAGAGAGAGAGCGAGGGAGAGAAAGAGAAAAAACAAAGATAGAAACAAGGATACAGCAAAGGAAGACTAGAAAATAAAGAGAGGTAAAAAGTCAAAAGAAATGAGAGGGCGGGTAGCAAAGATTGAGAGAAAAACAAAGGGAAAGACATACACACACACACACACACACACACACACACACACACACACACACACACACATATATATATATATATATATATGAGAGAGAAAGAAACAGAGAGGCGAAAACTAAAAGAGAAAAAAGATAGAGACAAGAAGAGAGATAAAACAGAGCAATAAAGAGAAAGAATGATGAAAAGCAAAGGGAATGAGAGAGACCGCGCGCGCGAGAGAGAGAGAAGATAAAGGGAAAAAGAGAAGGACAGACAGGGAAAGAACTAGAAAGAAAAAAGGGAAGAGGGAAAGCCAAAGAAATAGAGATAATTAATGACAGATGCAGAATGAGAGAGGGAGAGAGAGACAGAGAAACGAGAGTGGGGCGTGCAAAAGAGAAAGATCGAGAGTGATATGGTGTAGTAGAAAGAGAAAAAGAGAAAGTGAAGTAGAGAGAAACAACAGTTTCATCGTTTAGCCTACGCTTGTTAATATCCGCCACATGCAGAGAGATACATAGATAGTATTCATATATATATATATATATATATATATATATATATATATATATATTATTGAAGCAATCTGTAAAAGATTTATTTCTCATTATTTTTTTTTATATCTACATTTTTTTTCATATTATTTACTTATTTTTTCGTGCGCGATGTTTAATGGGAGTTAACTGGCATTTTATCAATGTGTGCTATCAACAGAAATGAGGGAAATAACGAATCATTCGGCCTTTGAGATGTGATCCCTTGCAATCAGTTTTATCTGATCGCCGAGTTAATATTGGCTAATCTAATGAAGTTGAACTCTGATTAGTATTGTAGAGATTGAATTAGTGGAAAGCATGCATACAACTCACGAGTATTACCTACGTACAGTAAACACTATATATATATATATATATATATATAGAGAGAGAGAGAGAGAGAGAGAGAGAAAAGAGAGAGAGATATTGAACTCTGATTAGTATTGTAGAGATTGTATTAGTGGAAAGCATGTATTTAACGAGTCTTACCTACATACAGTAAAACTATATATATATATATATTGAACACTGATTAGTCTTGTAGATATATAAGATTGATATATATATATATATATATATATATATATATGTGTGTGTGTGTGTGTGTGTGTGTGTGTGTAAGATTAATAGGAATAAACGTTTGTCACTTAGCTGATTGAGGTAACCTTCAATATCCCGACTCCAGAGTTTCGTAGCCGTACTTGTCCGTACACTTTTTAGTCGGTATTAGCAATTTACTAATACTTTTTCGATTTTTTTTTATATATATATATATATATATATATATATATAAAATTTGTGTATTTAGGCAGCAAATTCTCTTTTAGACATGTCTGATTAAATAAATTACAGACATTATGCCTGATAATTTTTTATAAAATCCGTTCATAGCCACAAATAACCTTCCGTGTATTGATGTTAAAGGATGAGAGAAATGTGCTATAGCTGTACAAGTTTTTATTTTTTTTTATTTTCATTTCCCAAGTACTTTCGATCTTCTTCCAAGATCATCTTCAGAGGTGGAAGTGGTAGAAAACTATATGTTGTTCATTAGTATAAGTATTTATATTTATACGTGCGTTGTTTTCCATTACCGTAATTTTTTTCATTATGCTTTTAAATGCAAGACGTTTGACAAATGTGCTGAGCTTTCATTAGAACGTGAAAAAATTATCCATTATTTATATTGGAATCAAATATAGATTAGAATCCGACAGAATGATAGAATGAAGAGCATGTAGAAAATGTTTAGATTTAGCATGTTAAATTTATAAATTACCTACTTTTTCCTTATCCTATATACTATCATATATATATATATATATATATATATATATATATATATATATATATATATGAAAAAAAACCTGGGCGTAGATTAATATTTGGGTAATTTTCTATGGCGGCACTCTCCAGAATTTTCCTTCTAGGTGAGTTATTTTATTTTTTTATGAGTGTAGCATTTTTAAAATCAAAATTATGGTTGAATTTATTTCTACGTATGACTAGTGCATTAGCTAAGTTGTTTTT